CCACACAAATGTTCAATAAAAGGTAGGTAGGGGTTTACCTGTATAGACGAGCATAGGTGTGTGCACGTACACACACCCACCTTTTGATAAGAAGAACCCTTCGTAAGGTTCACTACAAAACAGCACATGCAGGTGCAGCTCCGTAAAGATGAGAGGGAAGCTGGAACAGATACGAAGAAAAGTCGTAGGGTAAAAGACGCTAAATGACTCCCATCCAGCTGAGAAAACCAAACACCCAGTGTGGTGACAACAAGCAGCTCTAACATCACAGACTGCAATATGGATTATACTGAGCACTTTGGCAGTTACCCCCGCCTGAACAGTCAAGATTGCTCACAGGCCAGAGCTGTGCTTTATTTATTATTCACTAGTTCCTTCAGCGTGAGTTACAAGAAGGACGTACATTTAAAAAGCAGTTAATTAATGCTGTTTCTAGTAACTCACTGAAATAATCAACATACGGTTCCCAATGCTCCCTACAATTACCCTTCACAACACCTCTCTAAAACAGATACCATAGGTAATAGGTAAATATAACAAATAGGTAAATTCAATTTAGGCATGGGGAACTCCGACAGAGATGCCATTCTGCTGGATGTCACCCTACTGTTCTCTTAAAATCCGGTTCTGCGATTGCTTTCAACAAAAGCAGGACTAGACTGATAGCTCAAGAGCATTTCAAAGTCCCTACCCAAAGCATATTGGCAGGAATCCTAAAATCAAGTTAGAACAGACTGACAAGAGAACCAGGTTTCATTTAGTCTGAATGCCAGCTCCCTCTCCTTTGCACATGCTGGGATTGAAGGCAGATACTCTTCTCATGCATTATTCAAAATAGAAGTGTTACCTCGTAGTGCTCAGATTTCTATCAGCTCATGGCAAATCACAGAAGAAAACTCCCTGCGCCCAGGAGATGGGCAGACGAGAAAGAGTTTTACCCTTTCTAATAATATGAAGTGCTACGTGCTCCGGGACAACATTTTATTTCGACATTAACCAGCCTCTGTGATATCTATGTACTTCATTCGTAAGCCTCCAACCTTACAGTGAAGTCCAGGGTGGGAGCGTTACGAAGAAGCATCAGCACAGGCCTTTGGAAACTGATTTCTTGTCTGCCACGTTTCCTGTACCTCAGGGCCAGCCTGGGTGTTTTTTGCAGTCCGATGATCAAAGACACCCAGGCTGTAAGCACTGATATAGTGAGAAAAGCACCGCCCCTTCAGAAAACAATGCCCATCCTAATCCATCCTAATTCTCTTGTGATGGTTTTTACTTCCCTGTTGACTCAGACTTTCTAGAATTAAAGACCCTTTGGACGGTATGTTTTAGATACCTATGTATTTATTCTACTAGTTGATTTCATGGACCTTTAAAATAAATACAGTTTTCAGCTAAAAGCACAATGAGAAATGACCTAATGGGTGAAACTCTGGGTTAAAATTAGGAATAAAATGCATCCAGTCACAAGTTTGCTGGGCAACCACCTCCACCTCTCTCAGTATCCCTGTCTGTAAAGGAGGAACTAAGACATTGGTCTCATTTTATTAAATGCTCTGAGGCTTTCAGGTAGACAGTGCATTATTCTAGTCACTAAAAAACCCCATACTTCTTTTACAGTACGGTGCCCCACAACTAAGTAGTAGACCTTCCTTTCCTTGGTTAAACACTTGTGACACCTCCCACCCCTTCAGCTCATGTAAAAACTGACAAAACTGAGCACAATGTGCTCTCATCATTTTCCAAGGCTCTTGCAAACTTGAAAAAAAAGATGCAAGGGAAACAAGCACTGCTGGATGCACATTACGGGACCCCAAGCAATGCTGAAAGATCTCACAGACCACATTGTCCAAGAGCTGAGGCAGCGACTGTTGCCCTGTACTGGGAGGGCCTTAGGCAAGACAGGTCCTTGGGCAGAGGTAATAAGGTGTTGGGTGTTTTATAGCAAGCTCCTTCTCTCACTTCCAGTGGATCTACAACACACGCATCTGGTGCTGAACTGTAACCACCTGCAAATACAAGGAGCACGGTGTAAGACAGCTGCAGTCAGAGAGGAATGGAAGGAGATTGGGAAATAGGTGGGAAGCAAAGCAGGCGGGGAGGAGGTGGAAGTGGTCCCTTACCCACCAATGCCCTCTGGTGGCTCGCACAGCAGCTCCAGGCTCGGAACACAAGAACCTGTTGGCAGAGGTCAAAGACACCGTAATTGTTTCACCGATGGACAGAAATGAAACTGCGGACATCGGGATGTCAAACAGCTCTTTGTAAAATTTAAGTTCTTGCATGGCGATCTCATATCTGCTATCATTACATACCATCAAAACGTACGTTCCATCAAGTGAATAAAATATTAATCGCAAGCAATGTGAATCGAGACAACCGAAACCAAAGTGATTGCCAAGACAAAAATGTTTATTTGTACTAACTCTTCAAACGGCTGTACATTCACAAGCTTTAAACAAAATCAGTACACGTGTCTAGGGCAAGCTGAGTATGTATCTTCAGAAGATAATGCCTTCTTTAGTAATTAATGTTCATAAATCAAGAATTAGTTACAAATTTACGACCCCTTACACAGGGGTTAACGTTTTCAGTAAGACCGCTCCAGTACCAGGCAAAACAGAGTTTGTACAACAGGACTCTAACCACTCATTTTCCAGTATCATATCACAGTCTTTTAATCCGCAGTAAATATTAGCGGGGGAAAAATATCTAGTGCCAAGCTGAATGTTCTCAAGCACTGAAAAGTAAATACAAATGATGAAGTATCTATAGAAATTTAAATACATTATTTTAGTTACCGAAACCTCATTTTTTGACTAAAAATAACAAGAACATCGTTACAGACTAGAGGAAAGAATTCCATAAAAACCTTTTCTCTGGATTTGCCTTAGAATAGGCTTCTGTACAAAACAAGAACAATTAAGATTTTGGGGTTTCAGTGGTAGAAGTAGTATTGGAATAATAAATCACTTTAAAATAATATATTAATTTACCACATTTAGCTCATATAGCCCTTTACGTATCTTACAAAATGCTACTGTTCTACTTACTGCATGTAAAAAAATGTTTATATATATACGTATATATACAGATATAAAGGCAAAGCCAATCAGCTTGATATTAAAAAAACCCCCACAACACAAAGCATAAGCAGACACACTGAAAGTTATGCAGTAATGAGGAGTGTATGCTCCACGTGTGCGTTAGTGTAACAGTGCTTCCAACCTTAAATCATCCCTTTCATTGTCCAAGCAGAGTGCTTACTCTAAGTCAGCTCTACGAGTAATTTCCTCAACTGCCACGAACATCTGATGTTACTTAACTGCTGGCCATCTGTTGTATTTAGCACTAAATCAGAAATAAGGCAAAATAATTTTTCACATCCCTGAATATCTGAGGACATTCACGAGATCTTCCAAAAATTAATGCAAAACATTATAGCAGCACAAGAAATGGTACTCCTGAGCTGAAGCATCTTCCTGTCAATACAAAGCTGCCCCAATGCTCGCCTATTTCGGAGTAATCCAGGCTACTTAAGTCTGACAATTATTCCCAGGCATCCCCTCTGTTTTAGCAAGTTTTGAATGATAACTTAAAAGCTTCAGGGTGGGTTTGCGCTCATGTTTTCTGGTCTAAAAACATCACTGTGAACAGTGAACAACAGTTCTGATACTGCTCAGAGGTTTGGAGTGGATATTCAAGAGCGGATGGGCATTCTTGTCGAGCTCTGTAAATCTCGATGTTAACCCAGCCTCAAGAATGAGTCCACTCTTTATGTAACTAGCATATATTTTACAAAAAAACCTACAGTTTAGTATACCAGAAAAGCAAGACAGATTTCATTTATCTATCTTCTCTTGCATCAAACTTCTTAAAAAAGAAATCCAAAAAAACCCCAAGCCAACCCCACCCCCAAACTCCATAAAATCCCAAATTTTCCAATAATAAATAAAATTGACCTCCCTGATAAAGCAAAGCTGCCTGAAAAAAACCTAGTTGAGATACCTGGGGAATAAAAAAGACAAGATGCCTTTGAGGAGCTTTCTGGGAGATTGGTCATAAAGGACTTGATCCAGCACCCATTCAAGTTTTGTGCAGTGAAAGAGTAACTTCAGAATTCATCATTTCTCTGGGGAGGCTGGTTCAGGACTACAGTCCAGTTGACCTGTCAAGTCACTGGCAGGCACTGAAATGAATGCAGTCATCGTACTGGCACAGAATCCCTCAGCATGATCTACCAGGGAAATCCCCAAACATTCCTTGGAGCGTTGTGTGGAGCGCAACACTTTGTAGCTGATGGTTAAGCTAGAAACAGCCTGACGATTCTGAGCAGTGGATACCCAAGAGTATCCTCCCCACCCACCAAACAATACCAGTGAAGAAAAAAAACAGGTACAACGCTAAAATGAACCCTAGGCTCCAGGGTTTAGAACCCCCAGGTCAACATCTCCCATCTGCTTTGGGGAATGGGATGCTAGAAGAGCCTAACACCTGGGAACGGCAAGGGAGAAACGGAGAAATACAAAAATGCAAGGATTAAAAAACAGAAGGGGAGGTAATGATCCCCCTCTATCACATTCCCTTTAAAACAGTGTAATTAAAAACTTTAAATTCACTTAGAAATTGGTTTCAAAATAGTCCGACAGTTTTAAAGACTTTCAAAAAATCAAAATATTCTTCACCAGAGTTCATTAAAATACCCCTGCAGCCCCCTGAATAACTGCTACCATTTGTTTTGCATTAATATTGCTTAAATTAATATAATCGTAAGCATGCAAAATGTTAAAATTTCATTGTGTATACAGAATAAACCCAAGTTCTAATAGAAAGACTCATAACATTTCAAGGTTACAGGCTTGATTCAGTCTCCATCAAAACCAGTGGGATTCTTCCCACAGTGGCCAGTGGATTTTGGACTAGGCCTTAGTAAGAGACCACAAAACATTGTGTTTTATGGTGTAGGAACACGCACAAAATACGCTTGTGTATACACACTAGATATGTAGTGCAACTTTTGCATTGCGTATCTTGAAACAGCCAGTAAAATGACAATCACCAAGCCAACACTGCATGCTATGTCCAGCTAGGCTGTATAACAAAACTCAATACCCATTCCGAGACATTCATGTTGTTACTGTTGCCTAGCGAGCAGCTCTGAACCAAGCTTAATGATACATCCACTTGAACCCAGATAGAAATTCAAAAGGCAGAAAGCTGCATTAGTACGATGGCCTGATTGATTTTATATGTGCTCTGGGTGACTTTGAAGGCAGGATATCATCTCTCTGACAGGCTTCCCTTCATAGCAGATTTGATACACAGCAGTGAATAGCGGAAACCTGAGGAAACAGGATGGGGAAAGCAAACACAGTGTTAAGTTTATTCTGTAACATTTTCTTAAATGAAAGAAATAAAATGGGGTGAGGAGAGGGAGGGAAAAGAGAGAGGCTGAAAAATCAATTTCTTTTAGTATTTGTCAACCGCTAACGCTGGGCTGAAAAGCACTGGATAAATACAGAACCTACATGCATCTCTAAAATGAGTCACTCTCAGAAGCCCAGCTAGCTATAACGGAGCCTGCAGCATTCATTACGTACGGCACAACCATTAAGTGATCTAAAAAAATTAAAAAATTAAAAACACTCGGATCTTTCCTTGGCATTCTTATAGCAGTACGCATCTGTGGGTAAAAAGAATGACTGGCACATCTGTTACTCATTATCTCTGAGCAATAATTTGATAATACAATTGCAGAATATGACACAAAGAGACCCAAGAAGAAACTGAAGATCAAGTTTTTAATAAGAGTCCAAAATGGAACGTGGATTTTGGAACACTAAATTCTATCTCTTCTTATTTTCTTTTTAAAAATCAGCCACGTTTCCAACAACCCCCAAATTATTCAGGCTTCTCTGATAATCTTGGCTTGTTACAGCCAAGACACTTTACAGAAATTGGTATTTGCTTTCTGTCCATCCTGGACAGTGACAGCCAGACAAGTCCCATTTTCATACAGAGCTTGGTGAATTTTAGGGATTAATTATCTGTTCACCAAAATAAGTATGCCATTTCAGCAAGGTCTTTTATATTGATAAATTCTGACCAAACACACTACGTCACTTTGACTGAAATAAAAAAATAAGGAGCATTGGAGATGGTGAAACAGTGAATTTCTGACTGATTCAGAATACATCTGGACTAGGACTTTCTTCTTAGGAAAGTGGTCCCATCAGTCACTCTAGAGCTTTATCTGTCATGCACAAACACAGCACTGAGAAGAACCATGAGCCACCCCTGAGTACCATTACAGCATGGTGACTACCACGTTCTCCGGGGCAGATACAGGCTCTGTACTTGGCTGAATGCAATACTTTGCCTTTCTAGGGAAAAAAAAGCGGGCGAATGGACATGCTTGTGAATTCAATCCGTCGTTTCTATGACTTTTATTACAAGTGCTCAACTCAAAATTTAGAACTTCATTTTTATCTGAAACATTTTAAATGCATGTCTTTTTTTTTTTATTTTGTGGAGAACAAGTATAGCAGCAACAGCAAAAATTATTTCAGGTCAATCCAACTGACTTGATTTTTTTATTTATTTCATTGGTGGAACCACAATGAACGTATAGCCACATAGCTGCTCTTTCAAATGCAATGCTACACTGTGTAGGCTCCGAAACCCTCACTAGGAAATATGCAGAAAAAAAATATACACAAAGACTTTTGCATTTATTAACAAGCCTCACTTATCACTCACTTTGTATAACATATTGGGCTGGAGGGGGCCGAATTTGCTTTTACTGTAAAATCTTAAATGTAGGCACTAAAATAAAATTTATTACGCCTATGTGAGAGGTGGCCACAAAACATGTGAACCTTCTGAAGCAAAAGCAAGTTTCAGACAGCTTTAGATACAGTACTGGCAGTTACTTCTCAGTGAAGAAGTACCACTACTACAAACCATATCTTGATACATAAAGTCTTGCTGTTTATCACAGAGAACGTTACTCTGCCATGCTTCACATGGGGAAAGCAGAATTGAGGCTGACTGCAGGCTCATGGCCAGCAAACTCCTAATGCATCTTCTGTCTGAGCACACTAAGAGGGCTAGTTCTACAACTGTTGAAATGAAAAAATGGGTTGCACTGTAAATATCAATAGGCATCAACCCTGCTACCAAGGCTCTTCCGCTGAACTGTGACTCTTGTGTATTTCTATGTAGCCTTGGGACACTTTTTGTAGGATGAGACTATGAAATTTTACTCTTACTAGACTCTTACCTCATCACTTTGAAACCATGGCTGTTTCACTGTGTTTTATGTTTTAAAGCAGTAGCAAGAAAGTTTTCAAAAAAACAATGCGAAAGTTGCTTTCAAAAGTCTTGTTGAATGAGACCTTTTATGAAGAACTGACACACAGATGTTGGTATACCAAACAGAAATTAGCAACTCTCTGTTTTCATAGCTTTCATTAAAAACACATCCCGAAGTTTTCTGTAATGCACTCTATTTGTTGTAAGATAGAACAGGGGAAAAAAAAAACCCACCAACAAAAAAAAACCCAAACACAGCATCCCGTCTCATTTAGGTAATCATAAACAGCAAAGAATGAAGCCAACATTTTAATTATATTTTTTCTGCAGTTATCTTAATTACTGTACACTGCAGAGACAGACTTAGATGCCTTACATCTAAAGATAATGTTAAAAAGTAAGTAATTTAATGCAGGTGATTCATTAAAAATCCAGGACAACCTGCTTAATTTCATACCACGAAACCCCCCCCGACCTACACAAGCAGATGGCAGGTTTTATCCTACAGCAAACTGGAAGTCACATTAGGAAAGAGAACTGCGGTATCTAAGCTAGAATCCACACAGATAGAAGCAGCCACTCTATTCAGATGATCACCTATACAGGTCCTTAATAACAAAGCTCCTCTCCTTGGAGATAAGTAATGAATTTACTACTATGAAATGAGCCGTAGAGACTCTTCACAAATCTCTTTCAGAGGCTCAGCTTCTCTTTTCATGTATTTTATTCCTTCCACATGTTAAAAAGCACCTCGCTGTGCTTTTCTGTGATAGCAGAAGGCAATAATACATTCTGCAAACAGAAGGGCATTCACAAATTTAACGTCACACCATTAGTTCTATCTGCAGCAATATTATTTTGAGGTTCTATTCACTTCCCTCTGTGATTTTAACTGGGGATTAAGCTACTCTTATTACAGTGATTTTCTTTTTGGCTATTACCATTATGAAGATACCAACACCAAATATACAGAAAGAATTACGGAGATAAAAAAGGGGTATGTGGAACTTGCTTTATCTATTCTTACTTTTCCAGCATTCCTTTCTGCTTGAGGATGCGATACACTTCTGCAGAAGTCTGTGGTCCTTGCAGTTTCTGACCATTCAACATTTCTTGCTCCAATTCTTCAATAGACTAAACAACAGAGGGGAAAAAATAGGAAGAAAAGGAGAGCTATGACAAAGTTTTCATAAGCCTGACAACATCTGGGGGGGGGGGGGGGGGGGGGGGGGGGAATCAACAAACAACTTTACTGAGGATTTTTCCTTTCTCAAAAGTGATCCTATATTCTTGTTTGTAAATACTTTCCTTCTTAAATCCACATCTCCCATCATCTTATCTCTCCAGCACCCCTCCTTTTTAACACCTTTACACTCATTCTAGCCTTGTAACACACTCAAAAACGAAGGGAAATTTAAAGAGAAGGGTAATAACTCAGTACAGCTAGCATGTCTCAGATAACTGTACTATTACTCCAACAAACCAGGAGTACTAGTACTTGGAACAACGGAATTCACCCAGTGAACATGGTACCTTTCCAGTTTTAACGAACGCTTCTGCTACACGTCGATTCCGGCCACCATAACATGTTGTGATGAGATCAGCTACTCCACAGCTCTCCAGGAAAGTGGCAGTAGATACCTGTCCTTTGCAAAAAATTCTGGCAAAGGCAATCATCTCCATTAGGCCAAGGCGAATAACGGCAGCTTTGGTATTGTCACCGCAGCAAAGGCCATCACAGAACCCAGCTCCTACTGCTACTATATTCTAATGAGAAGAGAAAAAACAAATGGGAAATGAGTCAGCTATTGCTTACAGAGTCCTAGGAGACTCCAAAAGACAGAGTGTAGATGTCCTTAAGAACTGCAAACAGTTTGCTAGTGTAAGACCAGGTTGTTGTTTTGGGTTTTTTGGTTTTGGGATTTTGACATCTATGGGATAACCTTTGGGGGGGAAAAAAAAAAAAAAAAAAGACAAAGAGATGACAAGTCTTGCATTACTAAGTATTTCCAAGGATGAAAGCATAGTTAAAGCTCTGGAATAAGTTGCCCCAGAGGCTGTGGAGCTATTATTATCGACTATCTTTAAGAACAAACAGGTTACACTACACTAAAACAAGGTTTCATCTAGATTGAGCTATTTCTGCCCTGAGGTAGAGGTAAAGTTAGACTGACATCCCACAGCCCTTTTATCCTTTCTTTTTTTTTATGATTAAAGTAATAGTGAATCTAAGAAACATTTATTGATTTCCATGCTGCTGTGCTAAGGGACCAAATTCAGCCAAGCTAATACTATTCAGCCCTTTTAAGTATGCAGAGTTCCTGTAATAGTAATAGTTAATCAAGGATTCCCCAAAGGTTCATGACACAGGAAGACCTTTCCTAAGCAAAAAACGTGGTTTTTTTTTTCCTTAGACCTGGTTACAGCCTTCTACAAAGAATGTACTGTTTCTTCATGAGCAATCAGCTATACAGTCCCTTCTTTGGTTTATGAACAAAGAGATTAGCTGAGAGATGTCCGAGTGAAGTGACTATAAAAGCTATTTACTGAGACTAGCCATGGTTAGTTTGCCCCTACAACAAAAAACCTCTACTAAAACCCAAAACACTCCGACAAAGATGGTATTCTGACATACTGATAAAGCAAACAAGGAAGCAATAGATGTAGTAATACCTTTCTGCATGCAACAACAGCAGCAGTGACCTCAACAGAAATCACAGGAGAACCAACATTATGGCACTTAACGTAGCACCTGATGCAGGGGACACCACACCAGCCAACCAACCCACCCAACTTTAACTGTTGCTGATGAAACAGCAACAGTCAGAAGTTGCTAATGAAAGCAACAAGCTGATTGACAGACAGTTTTGTTTTGGTTTTTGGACTGTAAGAACCAAAAACCACAGGCAGCTGCAGCACTGTGTGGCCAGTCACGGCTAGATGACTCTGAATCAAATGAGGTCAGAAGATGAGTCATTGTTTTTTGAGGAGCTAGCTGAGGTCTAAAGGTGACCTTAAAAATTGTAGACAGATACCTCAACATCAGACCTGAAGCAGCAAAAGACGATCAGACTTTTAAAGCTGGTACTTTAGATCATCTTGGCTTAAATCTTGGCTGAGGTGATTTAGTCAAGGTATGTTTTCATCAGACACCTCCCAGAGCAATCTCCCATATTTGTTCATTTAGCGGCAAAGCAAGAGGAAGTCAAACAGGTATTTAAGAAGTTTTTAGATGGGATAACCCATTTAAATGGAATTTACACATATCTGAAGTATGCAAGTGTTTAGCGCTCAGCTAAAAACAGAAACATTTTTGAACAACCTCTGGGCTTTTTCCATGTACTTCTTGAATGCTCCAATACTAAAGCTTCCCCTTCCCTCCAACTTTGCCTGCTTTGACTTTCCTTTCCACTCTGAAGCAGCCTACCTGATCATAATTTACAGTATGATTTCGCCTATGCTATTTTTTTGTCTACTCCTACCTTTTGCAATGTTTGTCTTTGGAGTAACAGAAATATTGTTTTAAGCAAGTCGTATCAAGACTAGTTACTTCTGAGGAAACGGGGTAGGGAAGAAGGGAAGTTGCGAGTCTGAAACACTAAGTTCCTGGTTTGTCCAATGTCCCCATTGTATGTTCTTACACATAGTATGCAAATAATGAGGAAACGAGACAACTGATTATGCTCTAGAACACACACCCAGGCCTAGGAGAGTGTTATATCCTGGTCTATATAACCCTCAGGCCACAACTATGAATTTACAAGGTCTACCATCTGGTTTCATTTAAATCCTTGGAGACTCTATGACAACTCTCTCATGTCTAATATACTGTAAAGAACTGAATTGTACCACATTGAAAGTTACACCTTACTGAAAGATGAACCACTCCTTTTAAAAACAAAACAACAAAAAAATCTCACAAAATTTGGGCCAAGTCATCTTTCAGTCCAAAAGAAGACCAAACCGGGCAGCTTGGTACTTAAAATCTCCGGGTGCAGGCAGTAAGCTGAGCTTGTTTCAGGAAGATGGATAAGCAAAACACAAATTAACACACGAGAGCCTAATGGCACCAGCACTACAGTGATCTGTGAGGCAGACTGGGTGGGGGGAAAAACACCTATTTATCTGGAGAAAAAATCTTTCTGTATCCGAGATGGATGATCCTGAACACTGCCACTGCCAAAGCCTACACTTGAAGTTACAAGAGTTCCTGCAAGTGCAATGGGTATACATTTGTGCAAGAAGAGAGAGTCCACGTTTCCGTGAGCTCGAACTGACTCTATTTGCATATACAACGTGGAGGTCTGAGAGCCCAATAAGCAAGGACAACTTTAGCCTACAGACAAATCTGTTGTTCCAGAGGTTCAAAAATACTGTCACAATAACCCCAAAATGACTGCAACATAATGTTCCTCTTGGCCTGAAGGATTCAGAGCTCTCAAAAAACCGCTTCACGCTTGAGCAAACACATTTCCCCCATCTCTGCATTAACAGCTTTTTACATGAAACCACGCATCCTGTAAGCAAGATGCACAGGGTGTTTTTATACTGCATATGGTTGTAAGCTACTAAAATACTTTGCACTACCAGGCGAGTCTTTAGCTGGTCTGGTATCCAGAAGCCGGCATTAGTCCTAGCCCGAGTTATTCTAGAACATGAGCAAGGACTGGATTAAGTTATTTTATGACCTAGATAGTGAAGGTATGCTCCAGAAAAGAAACGTTGACGCCAGGCAGTGCTCACAGTATGTGCCAGAACAAATGAGAAAAAGTGTCTTTTACTTGCACATGGCCTGCTGAGAACATGCCAGAGGTCACAAATGCTAGGTCAATAGATGACCAAGAAACCAAGGCTAAGAAGTCTGCAGACTTTGCTGACAGACTGTTCTCTCACACAGTCAGTGCTCAGAAATATCCGATTTACAGTCCTACTCTCTTTACAGTAAGTTTGTGGAGTGCTCACGAAGACAGCTTCAGAGGTCATTTCTAGAAGCAACCGTTACTTTTCCATAATTAAATGCATCATTAGAGAACTAAGGAGAAATGTTAATTCACCTGGGATGTCCAGCCTTCCTTGAGGTAGTGTCCCAGCTCAAGCACAACCTGCTTTCCTTCCTGCTTACACATGGAGAAGCTCCTTGCTTCCTGTCATGGCTGAGAGAGGCCAAATGACGACTCAACAAATCAAAGACAGTATCAGCAGGACTGTCAGAGAGATTAAGCATAAACTGCTTGCTTACTCCCGGCAAACTTGAATGTAAACAGCAGATTTCATTTCCACTTAATCTCAGGAAAGAGTAATTACCACAATCAACTTCTACAGTACCTCAACTGACTACCCAACAGTGACTGCCATAAACACACTTTGCAAGGCCACCTTTTGAAGTAATAATGCTGTGTTGCACAACCTGGTAAACAAAAAATCATCGTTACACTTCTTACTGCTTTGCTTAAGGCTAAGCTGGAGTTGTAAGATTTAGAGGTGGGCCTGAAGCAACCTGAAAGGCAACCACAGCCGCTGCTCCTTCTCCTTCCTACAGTAACTGTCACATCTGCCTTGGTCCTTGACTGCTGCCATTTGAGGGTTTTTAACTCTCCAGACCCATCAGGCAGCTGGAGCATGGCCATTTTTCCATATGCAAGGATTAGATTCTCACTTCTCCTTCCCTCACCCTCACCCCTGGCACTGCTCCACTGGGTGAGTGATTCCAGTACAGTTTACACCCAATAATGCAGCTACCAATGCTTATATTGCCCCTCAAGTATGCTGCTAGGTTCATACACCAGCTCAGCCTTGCCTCACATCGGTGCTATTTGATCGTAAGACCACACACTGGCACAGGCACTAAGGACTTTAAGGAGACCTCAGAGGTGATAACCTTGGGACTGTGCTACTCTGCAGTATCACATCCATCAGTATGCAGGAGCACATCCATATGTACGCATAGCTGCACATACTACTCTTACAGTGGTGTCATAACCTTTAAGTACTTCCTAGGAAGGCCCCTTCATCGTCTGGCAATTGGCAGTTGGAACTTGTAGGTGGCCTTGGGTCAGGCTGCCTGTAAAGCCAACCGAACACCTTGAAACTGAACTATCCAAATTTAAAGTTTGATGATTTCTGACTTCAACCCTTAGAAAAGAGTCAACAAATAACTGTGAAATGCGCTTCCGTCCTCAAAAGAAAGAAATCCTGATAGAGAAGAACATGCCAAGCGCTTTTTGTTCCTACAGCCAACAAGTTACTGTAGCCAGCTGTTCTTCCTCAGTATGATCAGATTTTGTAAAGTGACTGCCATTGCCTATTCAGCTGGGCTCCAAGGTGACACAAGACTGCAGTTTCACTGCGCTGATTTCTATACTTCAGTACATCTCCATCAGCCCATTGTCACAAAAAAATAAATACAGTAAATGAAGTGGATATTCAATACGTATATGCATATAAACAGCAATCAAGCATGTTTTTTCATGATCACCCAGCTGCAATACCTATTATTACAATCTGAATTCAAATATGCTTCAAAAATCAGATTTCAAACCTAAAATTATCATGATTGTAAGGGAACGCTGTGCTCAGAGTGCTCCCTGTTACCCTTCTGTACTTTTTCCCAACCTTTAAGCAACCATCCACACTGAAAATGTTCCCTGCTTAGAAAGGCTTGCAGAAATAAAGAGCGAGGTAAGTATAGACTTTTAACAAGATCTAGTCTATTATGCCAGGAATACTCAAAAAATCTCCTTTTCCCAAGCTGGTATTTATAGAAAAATGCAGAAGCTGGGAGAATATACTATTTCTCACAGTGTACTATTTCTCACCCTTTAAATACCAATACAGGAATTGCTGTTACTGTTTTCACGTCCAAAAAGACGGTTTGGACTGGCCTGTGTGCCTCCTTACTTCTGTCCTCTAAGCCATAGTTTGCAGTGACGCTGCTCATATTTTGAATTGGCACTGCTATAGAAAGAGAGGAGAACCTCTCCTTTTATAATACCTGTCTCTTCACACAACATGATGCTGTCATCTTCTGAAATAGGAATTTCCTATTTCCAGCAAGTTAAATAATGCTAACTTTTACTATTTTTTCCACGAAGTAACTTTCCATGTTTAATAAAGTAACTGTCAGCTGACAGAAGCTACACTTTAGATTTTTCTCTAAAAACAATCACATGGAAAGATGCTTACTTTTCACATTTTTGTTACAAAGATTATTAGATTAATCATAAAAAAGCAAAGTGCTTGTTGTTACCCTTAGCAAACAATTCTTCTAATAGTAAGAACGTACAACTTCTAAGAAAAAAAGCTCAAGTTTACATTTCACTATTGACATTGAGCTCTGCGTTTTGCTTTGCGCAGGCAATAAAAACATATCCCTCTGTTTAATTTTAGCTTCTTCATTTTCTTTCAGAGGCATCCATGTTTCCAATGCAGTAATAAAACTTTGCAATCTTCAAGTTAAAAACAGCTCAGGAAATTATTTACATGCTGTCAGAACAAGATTTAGGACCAAACTAGAAAGGGTTTTAAATGAAAAATTACTTTAAAAAATACAATTTTAATAAAATTTTCTTTGAGATGAAGGAAGAGCTGTATGTTTAAAAAACATCACCTATACTAGCATTACTGATTGATGCCACTTTATACCAGTTCATGCCTTTTAATCAGGCAAGAAATCCATAGTTTTTTTAAACAATTTAATCTATCCTTAATTAGCCGTTTAGTTAGAGCTTATACCATGCATTTCTTTGGAACTCTCAACTCGGTTAACAAAATATACTGCGATCAAAACCAAATGACTGGAGCACACAGAATATATATAGCTTTTCAGAAATGCAACTAGAGAGTTCAGTCTGCAGAATGTATAACGAATAATGAAGCAGGAGGGAGGAACAAAACAAGGCTACCAAGAAAATATACAAGTTTCACCTCAGTATCTTTCCAGGTCAAGAACAACACAATTTATTTAAATTCTTCTGCACTTCCAGAGAGATACTGGTATCTTGCCTGACTTGGACCTATACAGTGGAGTTTAAGTGTCTGCTGACTAGCTGCTCAGTTTGATGGGCATGCTCAGCTCTAGCGCCCTTTCATGACATTTGTCTGGAATAAAAATTACCTGGGATGGAACATCTCTGTCAAGCAAGAATTTAAGCTAGCCAGAAAACCTCAGGCTGAGAAGATTTCAGAGAAGAAAAAAAAAAAAAATCTATAAAACTTTTTGACCAATTTCATGGGTCTATACACAAGGATTTCTTTCCTGCTAACCTCCCACGTCACCACAGCATTTTAAAGCAATGGCTGTGGAGCCAAATTACAAGCTCCACAATCTTGAGAAACTGCTATAGATACAGTAACTCCACTGCATGTTAGACCAAATGTATCCCATTAGCCCAGTGCACAGACCCATGACCTCCTCCTTCCCAGGACTTCCAGTATGACAGCTCTCAAGACAAAATTATCAAGAAAACCAGTAGGCCAAATATTGTGTTATTACAGCTATCAGTCTACTTCCCACCAAGCAGGAATCAGAACTCCTTAGCTTAAAGACATCATTCGTTGGCGTAGTAGCTTTGCAAGCAAATGGTGTAGTTTACACATAATTTCAACAGAAAAAACAAAGCAATACAAAATAATTACCCAAAACATAAAAAAATAAAACAGTAAGCCAAATTATCTACTAAACCACTACCCCCATCAGAAATGCTTCCACGATAGATACCAGATAGCATGAACTACAGTACTAGCGGTCAGGGTGCCAAGCGATTAGTGTTTTCCTTTCACAATTGGCCTGTAAATTGACCTGAAAAAAACAGCACCAAGAATATGTTTAAGTTAGCCTTTGCTTCCTGTCAGCATCGATTTTGTTACCAAAAAAATTCCAGATTAGTAACTGTCCAAAATAACTTTTTTCCTATTCAGGTCATTTCTGTATGTGGTTATCCACACAAAGCTTATGCAATTTACATCCACAAAATATAAAACAAAAGAGTGCTCACATTGTGTAAGTCAATGAAGACGGGAATAATTTTGTCAACAGACACAAAGGTTTAATGCCAACTTCTTTTTCCCTTTCTTTTTGTGAACACACTGTTGCAAAAAGAAAAAGGGAACTAAAATGGATTTAGAAATACGTTGACCAGTTAGATGAAATCAACACTTGTTTCATGACTATGTGTAAGCTAAGTGAAAGATGTAGAAAGAGAACTTGGGAGACGGTGAGACAAGGGGCCAAAAGCCAACTCTCACAACATGCTGCTCCCTAATTTCCCATCTGGCTCTTCCAGAAATGTAATGTAGCAGTTTTATACATTATATAAAGCACAATAAACTTAAATCATAATGAAAATACCCTCCTTTTTTCTACAAGGATCTCCATTGTGTCTGCGTACCAACTGCACCCTGTTAATCTTACCTTCAGAGCACCACAAAGCTCAACAGTATCTGCATCGTCTACCACAGTTATTCGGAAGTTGGGAGTCTGCAGGAGTTCTTTGAAGAGAAGGCCATTTTCCAAGATTTTGCTGCCTGTTGAAAAAAAGAAAGGAAGGCTAAAAAATGAGTAATATATCTGGGTGTTATTTAGCCTTTCCTGTGCAAGCCAAAATACTTATAAGCAGAGATAAGCTTGCTCTATCTTCATCCTAAACAGACTCCTGTTTTAAGTGACGAAGGACAGGTCTACACCGCACTTAAAAGCTCTGCACTGAGTTACTCTGGCCTTTGTAATACGTTGTCTGCCCAGCAACAGATTCTAAATAACAATCCCATCAATTTTCTCTACTCTCTCTGGTTTTGATCATTCTCTTTAAAAAGAAGAGTTAATAATAAAACAAAGGTGAATTAAAAATATAGGAGGTGCAATTCTTGCAATTATTTTAAGGCTTGCATTCCAGAAAAACACCTACTGCTAAAGGCATGTCAAGGATGTTTTATTAATTTGAGCATGCTGCCACTGACAAATGTTTCAAAGCACTAAGAGGTAATTCAACCATTCAAAAAGAAGTTCAATGCAAAAGCTGTTAATGAGAGGTTACAAAGCTAAAAATGCACAAAACTGTAAAAATTAACACTGAAAAAATAACATGAACTCTGTGCTATTATGTATGACTACCTGTATGCCTATACACACACATATGCCTATCTAGACATTGTGAAATCCAAGACTAGGCACATCTTTGTGCTGCAAAAGCATGCAGACATCAACACAGAACTAAAACCATGTCTAGCTTTTGGGGGAACTAATTGAGAAATTAAAATAAGTTATTGATACCTCTTAAAAAAACCAAAACACAACCACTCAAACATACATAAAGGTGCCATCTGTGATCATAACACCTGGGCTGGAGTACAGAATATACCATCATTTATCCACATAAAGCCATGCAGACCCAAGCAAAATCTTAAGCACAGAAATAAAATAAAGCAGTTTGTTATGTGGAGGGTGATAAAAAGCATGTTTGGTATTTCAACTGCTAAGGTCACAACCTTAATAAGACTAGGTAAAATTGCACTCCTTCCTCTCTCTCTATTGCCAGTATTGTCCTAGTACTTTTGGAAGTGTAAACATTCTAGGAAATTCAACATTAAAAATACGAAGAACCCAACAGTTCCTGATAACAGCCAGCTAATGTTGAAAATGATAACATTTGAGCTGTTTGGTGTGAAACTGTGAGGGAGGAGCACGTTTTAAACATTCTTATTACTTGGAACAGTACCTATTGTGGTTTCACAAAATTTCTCTGCTGCCACCTCATTGGCAATGTTAGCTCCCATCAGCACACTGATGTCTATTCCCATCTTCTCTCGAATAATGTCAGAGATCAGCTTGAGTCCCTCTGGGCCTTCATCTATTCCCTGCGGCCAACATTAAACGAAATTACTAAAAAGTCATTCATCACACACAGTAGAGAAGAAAGCACATCACAATTAGTCTTGTCCACGGGTGAGAAGGGCAACAAGGCCTACTCAGATAGAGGCTAAAGTTGACAGACTTGCTACCGGTGAAACTTCTGCCAGTGTTGTGACTTCTCCAACCTATCTTCTTTTCATATGAGGTAGCACATTAAGAATTAGGACTAAACTTTAGATAATGGTAACAGTTTTTATTCCATGCGCATAGACCTGATTCTAAGAAGTGCTGAATATTCAACTTTGTTAGTTCAGAATCTCAGCTGCTTATTATCAGGGTATGCTTACTAAAACCAAGGAAGCATCACCAATCCATCAGTTGTGAACCAGGCCTGCACTTGGGTTTGAAATTGCACCAAAACTCACCAAGTGACATCCCAATAACTTGTTTTGTGAAGAGGTGTCTGAACTGAAATATCAGACAGATTCCCTTGTGTATAATACCAACAACAGTTTACTAGTAAAAACCCGGTTTAATAATTTTCAATATTACTACGAATGGAACAGTCGTTCACACATATGTAGAAAGCTGAACAACTGAGAACAATTTAACTTCGAAGGATATTTTTAATCTGTATTTATAATGCACTCTTTATAAAAAGCAGAAAAGTAGGGGCAGAAATAGGTCCTTAGAAAAGATCACCCCAGAGATTAATGCTGCAATGGAGAAGAGAGCTGGTACCCTGAACCAGGAAATCCGAATGAGCCCACTTTCTTCTCACAAACCCCTCTTCTCCTCACCTGCTAAATACAGGCTCCTTTTGAGTTTTTAAAACAGAGGCATGGCAGACAAGCTACTGAAATGGTCTCTCTTTCCCACAGTATACCACCTTTCATACAGTACTGTTTTTTAATGTTGAGGATTTGGTACTTTCAGGGATTGGTAATTCTGAATTATGATTTAAAGGCAAAAAGGCAGTGTGATGCTCTACTTCTTCCAGATACACTGGTATGGTGCCAGTAGTGACATTTCAGGCAGGCATTACTTTGCATGTCCACAGATCAGAGATGCTATTCCTTAAATAACATGGTGCAATCAAGAGACATGCAGAAATGCCTGTACAAAACCAGCCAATCAAACCAGTGCTTGCATTTCTGCATTATTTTTCAGTCTGTATCACTTAATGCACAGCTCTGCTTTCTCATCTTTAATGAGTCATACAGGAAGAACCTGAAAGCAAGCACACACATACATGTTGTATTTTTCCCCTCACAGCGTCAAAAACATCCCCACAAAACAACTGTAAGGCCCCTCCTCCTAAGCAGGCAATTAATAAACAGAAAAGCATGCACACATTGGGAACAAGTCCAGAAATGTGAATACGTACACAACAGTTATTCATCCAAGTGAAAGGAGATTGGAGAGGCTTAGGTGCCAAAATCAGCTCTGCTATGAAACAGGTGCAACTTCTGACAAAGTCAAGGAGAGCTGCACCTGTTTCTTGTACAGTTAAATCCAATACTGAATGATAGATGACAGGAGAAGAGACAAACACCCCTCCCTCCTCCAAAAACCAAGGCTCCAACATGGGAATTTCCACTGGGGAGCAATGATCCCCAGGCAATGAAAGTCCAATTCTGTGGTCTTATCGCTTGTGTCCTAACATACCTGCCAGAGCAATCCCTGGGGCTCGTATATAGGTAGATAAAAATGTTGAGGCTGCCTGAAGAGTATTTTGAATGACCTCCACCTACCCTGCTTCCTGCGCTCACTGCTGTACTGCATCGTAAGTTGTACATGGTTCCTCCCCCCAAACCCACACAATGATTTGTTAGGTTTTCATAGACGCCAGTGATCAGAACTTATGGAAAGCCACATAGCTGCAAATGTTTCAATGGGAACACGCAGACAAATGTCTTTATTTCCCAAAGACTCAGTTTTATTATCAGACCATAGGCTCTGCTTGAAGATTAGACTGTCAAAAAAAAAAAAGAAAAGAAAAAAAATAGACTGAAAGATGACACGCTGCTAACTTGCCAAGCAATTAAGAAAGCACAGAAACAAGATGTCCCACTAATGGTATTTTTCAGAGCAGAACTGCACTTTAACTGCCGAAATTAACACAAGCCACATTAATAGCACTAGTGTTGAGCCCTTTCTTCTTAATCGACAATTTTAATGATGCACGGTTAGGCGTTTTCAAAAAAGCTAACATGTACTTTGCATTCTCCTGCAAAAAAATGAAGGGGCCTCACACCATTTCTTTCAAAAGACCCCCTACTAATGCAGTGACTCAGCGTGACAGTGGGAAGCTGCCTAATAATCAACTCTGCTTTGCATGGCAGGTGCCGCCATTTTACTTACACTACACTAAGTATGGGCTTTTTTTTGGTTGGGCTTTGTTTGTTTGGGGTTTGGATTTTTTTTTTTTTTTTTTTTTTAAACATAGCCATTAATCAACACTCCATTAAAGCACTGGTAATCAATACCCAGAGTGGTAATCCCAAGGCCCAGACTCGGAATTCAGACATGCGAACATAAATCCTCATTTATTCCACCAATTTCAGTAGAATTATTCCTATCACTAAGGACATGAGAACATAAATCACATTTAGCAAATTAAAGGAGAATAAAGTTTATCTTGAGCTTACAGAAGAAAGAAGTATAAAGCAATAAACTTCAAAGCAATAAACTTAAGGGCATCTAGCATAGTTGTGTGGTTTTGATGCTATGCATTTAGCTCTTTTAACACTGCCTTATTTTATCCTTCTACAATATGAAAAGCTTTTCTACAAAATACAGCAAGTGCACTTGGGAAGCATTACTTTTTCATACATCTCAGCAATATATCACATCAGCACTGACAAAACAATACAGATTTGATGGGCTTAGTTAGCCAAACTGAAGAGACAAGTTTGCAGTAAGTAGTGATGGGCGGGTTGATCTTTTTAAGCACAGATCCATAAATATATCATTTCCCAGAAATGGCAGTAAATAAGGGAATGTGTGCTGAGAAAATGGCCTACTCTCAACTAAGGACACAGCAACAACAAACCAGAATCTTTCAAACTTTGTGGGAATAGCTTATTCTTTGCAACTAAACACACACAGGGCGGGGGAAAGAAAGCTCATCCACATTTAAAAATTCTCCTGCCACCAAAACTACAAACACTCCAATGAACCACTTCCTGCACCTCTGCCTCCTCCTATTTCCTATGCTCGAACTGTCTTTTTGGGCCACGCTGAACAGACTCTCTTGTTGCAACATAATATTTTACGTGAACAAGAGCACTATCCTCTCAGTCACATGAAATTCTCTCAGCAGTTCTTAAAATGATCAACTCAGCGTGTGGGATGTGCATTAACAATCAAAGCATTATGCTCCTGCTCTGTTCTTCATCTAATGATGCATTTGGAAACAACAAATAAAGATTGGAAAGCTTGGTGGTGCAAAACATATTCACTCTCTTTCTTTTTCAGTGTCCTGTGAACAGCCTCATTTTCCTCTTCCTGCAAGCGTTAGCCTAAAATAAAATACCACATAACAATCCACTAATGACCGAGACAAATTCCAATCTTACATCTAGAAAGGTTTAATGGAACAATCAAACGAATAACGCAAAGAGACTTTTCATATCAAAATATCAAGCCATCTTGTTTTAGAAGATTCCATAACACATTCTCAGTTATTAATGCATAGCATTTATTATACCTTTATGAGAGTTATACCGAGCGCTTTCTTGGGTACTCGTCCTGTGATTTCATCGCAGACTTTATGAATGAACTGATGAGGAATGACAAAAACCAGCAAGTCTGCATCCTGTACAGCTTCATTAAGGTTTGGGACAGCAACCTGTGTAGTTATGGGAGAGAAAGGCCATATAACTTCTTCAAATGAACACTACACACAAGTGTTATCTTCCAAGTCAAAGCACATTTTGGTCTTACACTGAATGCTACAAACTACAGTGCTTCATCATTGAAAATAAGCAGTAACATAAAACTTTCCAGAAAAGTAGAAGAATTTAAGCTTTCAAATAAGGTATTTTACGTCTTGAAAGGGGCACCTTTGCAGCCACCAGCATGGTTAGGGCCAAAAAAATTCAAAATGTTCCGCAACATTCAAACAAGCGCTTTGAATAAGAAAATATAAAGTAAGAAGCTGCCTTCTCTTTGACAAAACAAACTCAATTTTTGACAAATCATTGCAAGCAGAAAAGTAGTTTCTTTACTTAGTTCCTTATACACTCAAATTTCTTCTCCAGGCCTCTTACATCTACTAGTTTATATTGTCTTTCTCTGTATTTATACATTTTGTTTACCCTTTAAGAAGGTGACCTACTTTGAAGTCACTTGCCAGACTCCACTTTTCCTAACACTTGATGACCACCTTAAAATGACACTCAGGTTTAAAACGTAATAAAAAGCTCGACCTATTGATAGAGAGAACAAACTTGAATGAGCAGGTAGCGGCCAGCAGAAAGACCACACTTGCTGAAGGCTAGGGAAATGGGATTTTAGCATTAATGTTAAAGAGAAAACCACAACGCATGGCAATTCATGTTTTTCCTGCCCAAAATCTTTACTGAATTGTCAGCTGCTGCAGCCTCTTCATATAATGTTCTTGGGGCAAGAGTCACCACCTGCCCACCGACCATCACATTACACCAACACAGAACAGATGCGGAGTCCCACTGTTCTGCCCTGGCAACGCTCCATCTAACAGGCTGATCTGACTGCACACAGTTGAAATGCAACTGAGAACCACACAAACTGCAAATGGCTTGCGGTTTGCTTGAGAAATACTCTAGTTCTCATCTTGTAATACTTTCTAAGAGTTTCAGAGTACGTGAAATCCCTTCAATTCTCACTGACCATGCAGCTCTCTTCTAAAGTTGAGGCCAAATTTATTTTTTTAAGGGCTATGGTCAGAACTGTTAATCTTGCCCTTGGTTTCACATTTGCTTCCCTATACAGAAGCTGAACTAACATAAAGATAATACTGAGACTGAAAAAAAAAAAAAGTACAGTGTGTTGGATTTACCTACCTGCATAATTTTGCTTGCTCAAATCTCTGATCTCATCAGTAAAACAGCATACAGTCTGAAATATTATAAACCCTAATGGCATTAACAAACCAAATGTCTACATTCATTCACAGCATGCGCAATATTCCCTCTGCTCCGTAACTACAATTTAGCTTCTGAGCCTTACCACATTATCTGGCAGCTTGTATCCAGGGAGATATTTTACATTTTCATGTTCATTATTTATGATATCTGTCAGTTTTCTCCCATTAATATTCTCCTCGAAGACCCACATCTTCACTGTGGAAGCAAACTTTTGCAATTTTTTGACATTATTGCCTATTATTTTGGCAACCGCAGAACCCCTGCATGAAAGAAAACAAAAATATTCTTAAAAGTTATTATTTTGCTCTAGAAGGAGGAGTTTGTCTTTAAAATAAACAGAAATTCACAGGTTATTGGACCAGTTACTATGTGGCATTTTTGATCTAGTAAAACAAGTGGAAAAATACACCAGTCATTCACACCTGCTGCTTTCTCCCAAATATATCCAGAGTAAGCTGGATCGAAGCGTTTTCTGAAAACCTCCTTACTTATTTTGTCTGCTTATTGGCTATCCAGTCAGAGTTTGGGTTACTGTATTTCCACAAATCAAATGGATTATATCTTCAAAGCAGTGGGAAGAGTGACATACTCAATTTTTAAAAATGGATCATTTTCGCCTTTAAGAAAGAGGAAGCTTTCTTTGCTAAGATGAATGACCCATCAATTGCTGTACAATACTGATAGGCATTTAAAGCCAAGAAGCATTTATATCTTGTGTAATTTATAAGCTTTATGGTTATGCTGCCAACCTCACAGAATTCAACTGTTGCAACGGCATCCTCTGAATTTGCAGGCAGACAATTCCGTTACCGTTAGCCTCATTTTCTCCTCAAGAACAGCACACAGTGAAACCTGTAGGACGGCGATCAATTTTACTCCTCAAATCTCTAAGCAACAATGACATTAATCAGAACTACTGAAGTTACATACAAGGGGAACAAACACAACCTTCCCTTCCGTTCCTAGCCTGAACACTATATGGAAGAAAAAGATGCGATTTTATAAAACCTGTTAACCTAACTTCCTTTCCTGGGACAAGAAGGTAGCTTCATAAATACTGATAACCTACTAAGCAAATAAAAAGAAATAAACTAGAAAGATGCATAAAAATACAGAGTCACTGATCTGAGGCTTGCATGTGTGCCTGTGTGGAAACAGCACACTTTATTAGGAGGTAAGAACACTTTAAATTTTCAAATCTAGTTATACACATACACTCCCCTAAATTTATTATAGACATTGCTTGTAACAAACTCATAGCTGGCAACTAAATGAAATAGATTCATTCTGCTCCAAGAGCTTTTAATATGGCACAACTCATTGTGCTATATGAAAGATGTGTGCTACCACAGGCCTAAGGTCACTTTCTAAGTAGCGGCAGAAAAATTTACAGTATCCTAAGTAGACCTTCTTCAGTTAAACCATAAAACTGTAAGTCTTTTAAGACTGGAATGTATTTCTCCAAGAACACTTCACATACTAGAAATTCCCCTCAGTTCAGGAGGTGGCACAGAAGCCGCAATTGTCAGCCATCTCTTCTCAAGCTCATATTCCAGATCTTCATGCACAGAGAGTGGTTTCCGCTGCAACGGTAGACAACTTACCAGGTCAATCCCCAAATTTCAGATCCACACAAACAGCATGAATCACATTCAACACAACACAGGTATGTGTTCCTCAGAAAGGGCTTTGAGTCCCTTGAACAAAAGCACATTTACTACTGTAGATTTATTACAAAGTCGGGATCCTGGCAAATCACTGTCTTCAGTTTTGAATTTCACTATACATTCTGTGTGCTTAGTGTTGATACCGAAAGACAGAAATAACTGAATCAGCAACTGTCCAACTGGGATTTTCAAACAGTTCGCCAGCATAAAGTTTGGCAGCATGTACTACTTGAGAGAGACATTAATTCCATTACTATTTAACACTTACATGCCTTAGCTGTCTTTTTTCTCAGCCTTTGAATGTAGTATTAAAAAAGTAAAGATTTGCCTGGTCTTAGTTCCTGAATTCAAGAAGATTCTCCTGATTGGCTTCTCTGGTTCCTCATTTCCTCTTACGTCGCAACATCTGTTGTACGACTGATTTAAGCAAGGTCAAATAACTGACACTGAGTTTAAGACTGCTCTGTGCACGGTGAAATACCAGCTCCCCACACCTGTTAATCCAACAAGCAAAGCTATATTCTCTTCTGTGCCCTAATACTCCTCAGTGTGTACTCTGAAATAACTTACTGGAATGTCTGGCTCGTCTTGTATACTCCTGACACATCACAAGGCAAAGGAATGGGAATTCTTGCCAATTTATTCCTAGCAATAACAGTTCTAGTATGAGCTAAGTTGCAAGACTTGGTGCCTGCAGCAGCTCAGTTACCACAGTGAAAGATTCCCTCACAGAGCTTAACCCTGACGTGCTCCAAGGGATGGTTAATGCTATTCAAGTAATACAAGGTAGTTGCACACCAAACACCAGTTCTCTTCCTTGCGATGAGTATCAAAGCCCAAACACAATCACAGACACTTATTTAACATTTCTGAAGAACTGTATTTGACACTTAGCGAGCAAGACCACTCACTTTGTCTCCTGCTTCACTTGGTCTGCTTTCCCCTCATTACTTTAAAAGTAAAGCACAAACCCCAGAAACTCCTAAACTTGCCCTGATACCAGCATCAGTGGAGGTCACAATATGCAAGTACAAATAAAATCATTAACTCTAGCTCTACCACTTGTCCCTGTAAAATCACCTCAGTTAAGCCACAAGTTTTATTCTCATTTTTCTGCAGCAAGTTCCTAGCCATATGAACCCCTCTGTCCCAGTAACTTCCCATCTCTTCCCAAACTCTAGAGTTTCAGTTCAAATTGGGCAACCAGATTAATTAACAACTGGTTCTAGCAAAACAGACAGGGATAAATTCTGGCCATGCACACCTTGTTAACCCGTCCTGGAAGTGTTATCAGAAGAGCAGGCTACAGTACACATCCGAGGCAGCGTTTGCAGCATTTTAACTGAATCTAGGCACTGTCCTTGAACCCTGAGGCTCCACAGCATATTCCCAAGGTGTACTCTCTTCACATTCAAGAAAGCTTATTTTATCCCCTATCTTGAAGATCCAAATACACTCACTTATCCACCAGCTGAGCAACCCTAAATGGGCAAGGCCAGCAAAAAGCATAGCTCCTGCTCTTCAGTGCCTGGTGAGCCACCTGTTCGGTCCCATGATCGTCCATCAGCTGCCGAGTGACCCCTGCCAAACCAACTTCATTGTTAAGGCGACCTTCCCCTAGCAAACCGACCAAACAAGTCTGACTGGAAGTAGTTTATCATCCAAGGTGACTGGCTCAATTCCTTCTAAATGGTCACTGTCGTGCCAAGCTCCTTCAGTGGTTTTGTTTTCGTCCCAGATATAGGTTAAAGGGCTGTGAGAAGGGAAAGACGTTCGTACAGTTACTTGTGGGACAGAATCGTCTCACACAGAACCCCAGAACCCCACAGCCTCTGAAATGCTAAAGATGCCAAACCCCACTCAATTCAACTACTTACATGCTTACGATTTAGGCAACACCAGTCGCACGTTCCTGTAACTAAGGCTTTAAAAATATATAACCCCAAAATATCAATACAAAGATGATTCTAAATGCTTCAATTTATTTCCATTTACCTGCTTTTGGGCATTAAATGCTTCTCCTTTAGGATCCCAGGCCCCAGTTCAAAAAGGCACTTACAGGCACACAATTCAAATTAAGTCCTATTTAGTTCAATGGTTGCATATATTATTGAATCACAGTGCTCTTTGCAGTCAGGGTTTGGTGTCTGTCATCCCTTGGACTTTGAGGAATAAATCACCTACCTCTCCAAGAACTATCGTTTTCAGAAACATTTGGGGGGGCGGGGAGATGGGAGAGCTGTTGCACATCAAAACATTTGCAATTTCATATTTGATTACTTTGGTTTCTGCTTTCCTGCCACAAAAAAAAACCCTGCCTCACTGCTATCATATGAAATAAGCTATCAGTTATTTGAATACATTTATCCCCAAAAGAAAGAAAAAAGATGATGCCTGCTAACAGCATTATGTCTTTCTCTCAGTGTCACAGATATGGGCATTTTGCCACCCAAATATCCATCCCATTAGGCAGGAGTTTTTCTTGTTATTAAACTGATGCAATGAGGTGAAAACAAAATATTTATGCACGTGGTTATTGCTAGTAGGTAATACCTACAAATCCTTTTGCTTCTGCAAGTGTGCTTCACGGTGCATCAAATATAAAAGCAGTCAAACTTCCTGTAAAACTTTTTTGCTAGATTTCAAGTATGGAAGAACGGCAACAATACTCCTAAAAGACAGATAGGTTTAACTGCATCATTTGCTTCTGATATATACTGCAATGCACAGTATCTCCCTGTTCATCTTACAAGCTAGTGCAAGGAAAGCGAGAGATGCCGCACTGAAATGTCAGCCATTCCCTCAACAAGCCATTGCAAGGAAAAACACAACTTGGCAGTTGCTGATATTTTTAACTATGCAAAACAGCAGCAAAAGCCAATTGCACAGAGGGGGCAGAGAGTGGGCAACAAGTCTAAGATGACCTTGAGAAAAGACTGGTAACTTTTGTTTAATAAAATAAAGTACCTTGCTCTACACCAAACTCCCCTGAGTTTAGATTCAATGGCTTAAAAAACAATGTTATCAGAAATAACATATGCTTAGCATTAGTAATCAAGTGACAAACTGTGAAGATAATCACAGTGTATTACATTAATGTAACTTACTCGTTGTAAATAGGGACTCGGGGTAAGAAAAGTGACCAAGAATGGCAGAGAAACTGAAGCAGGGAGACAAAGAATTATGAATGTGATACTTCTCTTGGAGAACGATTAGCAAATCTATTGCTTTCAGTGGACACAACAGTAAATTTATTTAAATCTAATTATAAACTGGAGATAGACCCAGCAATAAAACCTTGTCTCAAGCCTTCAGTGTGCCTCAGCATAATCAATTTGAAAAAGAAAAGGTATTTCAAATAACCTAGCTTCTCAGAGCTCTTCCTTGAACTTCCTTGGTAAACAGCTAACATGGCAAACGCCCAACACCACTTCGGAAAGAAGCGGACTTGTTACAAAGCCCTACAGCCGGCGTTTAGATAGCAATGACCTCCTGAAAAAAAAATTTAAAAAACGTTCAGCATCTTTATTGTCTACGTCACCTGACATCGGACAAACCACACAACAAAGACCAGGTTAAAAATATCC